TGGCTGGCGCCTTAGCCGGTTGAGCCACAGGCGCCGAGCCGAAAATTCACTCTTAAACATGAACAACTTATTTTCACACTAACTGTAATATGTACGAATTAATCTTTTATCACATTGTCCATATGAAGGTGCTGTGGAGTACATTAATTTCCTCCCTCTTCCAACGAGTCATGTCAAAGACCACAATCTTAAAAATAAGCAGTTCTCTGTGAAAACACAGTTACGCAGCAAATGAAAGAAAAGCGCTAATAAACTGCTTTTAAAGAGAGATTTTAAAAGGATGATTACATGCTTCACAGAATTACTGTTAGGTCGTCCTCCAAGAAAGACGGTTCCTTTAAAGTAGCTTTTAAGGCATATCTTTCCCTATTTGGGACACAGTCTGACTTGTTGGACAAGATTAATCCGGGTACGCTCACACAGAACCCCTCTGAACCAGCTTAGTTCACTGAAAACATCATTTCAACCTCCCAACTGTAGTACTAAGCTCTTCTCACACTACAAGGGACAGGATGACCCTCTTTAACAATCTTTCAGGAGAAGCTTCCCTCGCCGCAGACAGTGACAGCCGTCCTCCCATGGATGTTTTTGAAACAGAAATTGTTTTAACACCAGAAGAGGCTCCTAGAAGCGTCAGTGCGGCAGCAGGTGGAGTAACCCTGCGTGCTAAGCAGGTTCTGTCTGACCTAGTCTCGGTCCTCCGCTTCCCAGGCCAGGTTCCGCCTTACAGATCTTTTAAAGCCGCCTTGCGTTCCAGTTCTCTAACCCAGGGCGAGACTCCCAACCCTCCAGGGAGAAGAGGCGATCTAAGTAGACAAGACGTCCACCCCACCTCTTCCGGGGACTCGCAGGCCCGCTCCTTGGCCATGTCAGAACCTGACGGACCCCGCATAGGGCAGGCAGCTGGCTGCTTCTGGGGCCTCCCCAGACGGAACCCCGCACGCAATGATCCCTCTCCACAGCACCCACCCCTTGGAAACGCCACCACTACCACCCTCCTCACTCTTGAATCCCCTTTCCTCAGGAGTACCCCAGTGGAGTTACCGGCCCACTCAAAAGTAAGAGCGACGGCCACCCCTATGGGTCACCCTGGCTCCGCTGTCACCGCCCTGCTCCCGGCCTCAGCCCACGCCGCTGGCAGGCCCCGGTGACGCCCGGGTCGGTACCTTGCGGACCCCCTTGTAGATATAGAAGTAGAGCTCCCGGCCCACATTGAAGCAGAGGCGGTCGCCGTTGCCAGACTGGTCGTTGAGGTTTACGAAGGAGACGCGGACGGGGTTGGATCCCTGCGAGTTGAAGGGCACCCGGTTGGGCCGGCTGTACTCCGAGTGCGGCAGCAGCTTGTACAGACCTTCCCGGGTTGTGAATTGGGTCTTAATCTCGTTCATCTCTTTCCCTCCTCCCTCCGTCGCCATCTTGGAAAGCAGCGTTCATCCTGCCCTAAGTGCCCGGATCACGCCCACCGCGCAGGCGCCGTTCCTGGTGCTCGCTCTCCCCCCCGCCCCCGCCTCTTCCTTCTAGCCCCTCCCACTTGCGAGCCAGCCCCTTGAAGGCGGGCCGAGGAGAAGGGGCGGGCTTGTTTACGGCCCGACTGCGCAGGCGTGCTCACCTGGCGCACTCCTCGCGGCAGGGCGTCCGCAGGCTCCTCCCTTGGGCGCCGCCTCCGGGCGGCTCCGCTGCTACCTATGTGTTGCCGGATCAGGCGCAAGGGCAAGATAACTGTTATGCCACCCAGAGAACCAGGAGAGAGTTAGTAAGGGACAGTCGCGTTGGGACTGCCATCGGGAGTACTGCGGTGATCTCAACCGTCTCCGGCCCTGCTCTGAGGGACCCCAAGGCCCTGAAGAGGGGTGGGTGAGCGTAGCCTCGAGTGCCATCAGCTTTGGGATCGGCCGGTCGGCACGTGGGGCACCCAGAGCGGAGAACGGATGCCATTGGGACGGGAGGCATTCCGTCTCGCCTGCGTGCTCTGTTCGGGACCGGTTCTGTGTTGCTTGGAGGGCTGAAGTGGACCCGCGCGACTGTCTGGATACCTGTGCTCCTCTTGAGTCAGTGTCTGAAAAGGCACCGAAAGATCCAAGTTTTATGCTTCATCCTCTCTCTTTTTTTTCTTTTTTTAGGCAGGATGGGGGTACAAGGTATGTATTTGCAAGTCAAACATCTTAACACCAATCTGTAGTGAGCTTGGCTAATTTTAAAGAAAGTAGATTGTGTTGGGACTTCTCCGTTTCATATCTAAAGTTTGTCTACAGCGAGTGTTCAGAGAAAAGGAGTAGGGGCGGGAACAGCTATAGAACTAGAGACTCAATCTATGCAGCATTTACTTCTCGCACAGTAGTTTATCAAGAGCTCTTAATAAAATTAGAGGGTTTTTTTTCAGGATATAAAAGTATGAGTTTATTTTCTATGTTATATAAAAGGAAGAGAGTGGGAGAGGACGAGATGTGAAAGAGTGAGAGGAGAGAGCAGGGAATAAGAAGAGAGATGAGGTTGGGGGAAGAGGACAATGAATGCGTGGCATCCCAAAGAAAGAAAGGAAGAATGCTGCCTCCCCCACCCCCCAGGTGATTGATTAAATTAAAAAAAAAAAAGACTCAAATGAAATCTGAATTGTTTACTAGGAAATCCATAGGCACAGTTGTATGCAGGTGACCTATGTAAGGACAAACATGCGTGTTAAAGTAAGATTATTCACTCACTATGTATACCTGGGTTTCCTGGCATGTTGCACTAGAATAAGAAAGTTTCTAAAATGACAAAAACATTCTGGTAGAATTCCAGGGAGAAAAAAAGCCAACATTGTGACACCAAGAATGAAATACTATTCCTGAAAGTTCAATCAGGCGTCCTCAAATTAGGACCCACGGGCCACATGCGGCCCGCCGAGGACATTTATCGAGCGGCTGCCTGTCCTGCTTTGCAGCTGACTCATCCCGCGGCCAGCAGTCTGGCACTCCAACTGTCTGAGGGACAGTGAACTGGCCCCCTGTTTAAAAAGTTTGAGGACCCCTGGTTCAAATCATATCTGGAGAGTCACAAAAGAAGTAGAAGGAAGTAAATTCTAAAGTAGGAGGAGTCTAAATCATAAATATCTTGTGTATTGCAAAGCAAGTATATGCCAGTAGAAACTGTGCCAGTGATGTAATAATGCATTTGACACTAACAACTGTAACCTTTGTACATATTGCCCCCCCCAAAAAAATCACTGAAGTTCTACTTAATTAATAGATCCCTACGATATTAAAACATTTTTGTTATAATCTTTGGTTGGTTTTTTTTGGAGGGAAGGGTGGAAAGTGAGAGAGGATCTTACTCTGTTGCCCATGCTAGAGTGTAGTGGTGTTATAGCTCACTGCAACCTCAAACTCCAGATCTCAAGTGATACTCTCACCTCTGCATCCCAAAAAGTTAAAGTGTTATGACTTAAAGCATACCACTTTTTTTGTAATGCTACTTAATACATACAGAATGTTCACTTTAGGCCAAATCTATTGTTTCTCAGATTCAGAGATTAACCCATTAAGACGCTTAAAAGGCCAGATATAACTCAGGCCTGTAATCCTAGCACTCTGGGAGGCCTAGACTAAGGGATCCCTTGAGCTCAAGAGTCCGAGACCAGCCTGAGCAAGAGTGAGACCCTATCTCTACTAAAAGTAGAAAAAACTAGCCAGGCATTGTGACAGGCATCTGTAGTCCTACCTACTCTGGAGGCTGAGGTAGGAGGATCTCTTGAACCCAGAAGTGTGAGGTTACTGTGAGCTAGGCTGACACAATATAGCACTCTAGCCTGGACAATGAGACTTCATCTCAAAAAAATAAATAAATAAATATTTAAAAAAAAAAACTCAAAACTAGAAAAAACAACCCACAAAATGTGAGAAAATACTTGCAAATCATATCTCTGAAAAGGTATTTCTTTATTTTATTTTACTTTTATTTATTTATTTATTTATTTAGAGACGGTTTTAGTTTGTCGCCCTTGGTAGAGTGCTATGGCGTCACAGTTCGCAGCAACCTCCAGCTCTTGGGCTTAGGCAATTCTCTTGCCTCAGCCTCCTGAGTAGCTGGGACTACAGGC